CAGTCACTACCCCAAAGATATTATGGCTCAAGTATAAAACAAGAGATAACAAATTCACAGAAAAGTAAAAAGAACCAACACAAAACTAGACAACATGTAAGTGCTATTAACAGACTCAAGCCTACCTGTCAAATCTATTCTGGGTATTGCAGAAAAATAGATCTTACATAAGGATTTAGAGGAAAGAAACAGAGTGTCTGCGTTAGGTGCTCCATTTAAGTAAGATGGTGAACCAGGGAAACAGCACAGATACTTTCTTGTGAGCTCAGGTGCGTGATGAGGCTGTCATCACTGGCTGATAAACTGACAGTCAGCATCTGAACACTGAATATGAGATGACACGTAAGGTGTTGGTACTAGTCCATTAAAGGCCTTGAAAGAGGAAGCATCTAAGTTTTCCTCGGTGCTATAAAGGAAAGGGAGCTAAGGAAGAAGCAAAGCAAGAAAAAATGATGGACTGAAAAATGGTCTTTACAGCTTCTCTGCTGTCTGGATGAATATAAATGAAGCAAAAATGCATTTGTCAAAGCCAAAGAAAAGGACATTGCAGCAATAAAGATGTGAGCTGATGACAGCCTGAGAGAAAATGTCTGTTAGACAGACAGAAAAGCCTGTATCTTAGAATCATGAAGAAAAAAATCTGCAAGACAGATTTCTTACCACAACATATCAAGTACATTTTTATAGCTCAGCTATGTCAACAAAATGATAACTTACTTAAACTGAAAATTTGGACTAAATCTGTAATATCTAAACGTTAAACCAGTATCAGTCCAACACTACAACTAGCTTATATTCAGTTTGACAGCTGAATCTAGTCCCTGAAGTCCTGTTTCCTTAAAAATCTTTCAGATACCCTGTATACAACACCATTAAACTCAACAGCCATATTTTCTATTAATATTTTAATTATAAATATGCTCAAAATCATGCTTGAATACTTAAGCACTTAACAGCATCAACGATTCACATCTCAAGAATTCAGGAGAATTCTGCAACTCTGGCTGTAGTTAAGAAAATGAGTAACAACAAGTCCAAGTCTAAGACATGCTGATGAATAGAAAGGTCTCCATTACTTGCATCTTTAATTACTTAACCTTAGATAGTAGAAATTAAATGAATTTCACATTTTGCATTCACATCGCAAGTCATTCTTTATTACATTATAAAAAATAATGTATTTTTATCTATATTAAACTTACTGCTTTTTTTCTTTTTTCAATCTGGCACTAATATGGAACCAGTGAATTAAGACAGAACATTTATACCATTGACAGAAATATCATAAGCCAAGAATGACCTGTTCAATGCTATAAAACATCGTATCAGTTATGAAGGAAAATCTGAGCTAGGAATAAAAGGTCTTCCATTTACAGTTTGCCCATTGTGTCCTCTGTTCCCCCACATGTGAAGTAAAAACTGCTAATTTGAGGTATGAATAGAGCTACAGAGCTACCCAAACTACCTTTCTATACCTGGGTTTGTGGAGCATCCTGTGTAGGTAAAGCGGACTCTCCCGAAGTGAGAACCATGAGCGAATAACAAGCTCTAGCTATTACTAAATCACTATCATTCTTTTCAATAATATTAATCTTTGTATTATACATGGGAATGAAGCATTTAAAATGCCTACCTGAAAACATATTGGTATAGTTTCACTGCCATCAAAAAATGAAAGCTGAAAATTGCATGTAATAATTTTTGCCCTCATTACATAACGTTGCATCGCATAGCTCATTGCATTAAATAGCAAATTTCAAAATGGGATCAAAACTTACTATAAAGGTTACTGATACCTTTATTTAGCAGGACAAAATGTAAGCAACTATAAACTCCTAGTGAAACAAAAACATTTGACATTTCCCCCCTCCCCAGCTTCCTAAAATCAAATGTTTTCTGTTGGGACACCACATTTTGAAATAGTTGTCCTTGGTTCTCCAGTGTACTGTATTTTACAGTAGTCAGAGAGGAACAATTTATAAGGACATGGAATGGACAAGTGGCATGGAATAATCTGTGGAAAGTCAAGAGTTCCTAGTTTTCATAAGGCAGAAACATGAGATAACTTCTACAAATAATGTTGTAAATTGCTCTAGATTTACATATAAAGCATCCCCTTTTTCCTTACTTGTCTGTTGCTAAAACTTATGTTAACCTGCAAATCTCATGATTTAGAGGAGGTCTACATTGACATTTTATACTTGACCAATAGACGAAGTGAGAACAACTTGTTCAAATAGATTAAAATGAAGACAACTTCTATCATGACTTGATTATCATCTTACAGTGAGAAAATTATTTTGTTACATTCTTTCAAAGACAAAAAATATGGGACTGGCATCAACACAATTTTATATGCTTGCGTTACAAGTTTATATATACTTTTTATTTATATACATGTATACCTACAATATATACATATAATATATACACATGATTATTTGAACATTTCGAGACCTGAGTTGAAACATTAATTTCTTCCTCTATTTCCCTCATCAAAACTTACTTTGGTGGACACCATAATATTTAATTCTATAGATGTAAACCAAATATCAAGTAGTTTTCAAGTTGTATCCCTCCCAAGTATTAGTCCAGCCAGCCTAACTCCTTCAATTGCAAAATTTCTTTCTCTGCTACACAACAATACACAACAAAAACCCCAAAACAAGAACCACACACACACATGCTGTCTGTAAAAAGGAACTATTATCATGGAGGGCTGAATATTTGGTATATAAGTCTATTAATTAATCTGTTCACATGAGGAAGAATAAACATCATACTTTTACTGATTGCTTAGGTTGCAGCAATACATACTTATAAGATTGGAAACGGACCTCTTAAGAGCAAAGATTATGTTCTATCATTGTCCTGTTTTTAACACTACTAATAATATACTTCATCAAATAATAAGAAAAAGTATTGCGTAACCAAATCCTTTAAAACTGGTCCTTGATTCAAAACCTGCTCAGTGTCTCCCCTGGCATATCACCACACCTGATGCTCTGGGAACATTATTCTGCCTTAAAATTCCTGTAAGTTTTTTAATTCTACTGAAAGAGGTCAAACAGACACGTAAAAGAAGAGCACTAGTTTACACAGCTAGTACTAAAGAATCAGGCCCTCTGACTGATGATTAGGAGAGACTTCCCTTATCTCTGTCATATGCAGAAAAACAAATGCAACACACACTATATGCAAGAGAAATGACTGGATGCACATTCTGATGATTCTTGCTACAGTTTACAGAACAAAAAAATTCACTACAAAATGTACTATAGCTGTGACTTCTCAATCACGTGAATTTAATGCAATCAGAGTACTCTGACAGCATATACTGAACTTCCCAATTTTCCAATGTAGTTTAAATGCCTACTACTTTGAAGAATAGGCAATGGTCTACAACTATTATTAACAAAGCAGAAGAATAATGGATATTATTCTTGCCTGTGGGAGAAAGGTATCATTTCTGATATACTGATAACTGATAACACTTTAGTTTAGTCATTTTAAAAGGTCATGTTACACAATAAAGGCAGCTGAGCCTTTTAGTGATAACACATATAGTCATAAAACTAGCACTAGTCTACAGATCCTCAAAATTCCTAATTGCATTTCTATGTTGTAAGCAAGCCAAAGCAGTCTGATAAATGTGTTCCAGTATATTCCTGATTTATGTACTTTATGGTCTAGTTTATATAGCCTATAAAGAAATTAAACCATAAAGAAATCCCTTAATTATTAAGTAAGTAAACAAATCTGCATATATTAGGAAAACAAAACAAACCTTCATAGTACTATACCTTGGGATTATTATTTACTTTAAACATAGTTATAATAGATTCAGTAGAGAGGGGAAAATTACAAACTTTGGTGCAGGAAATCAACAGGAAAAATTTAATAGGAAGGATTAACAGTGAACAATTGTAGTTGAGAGGCATGGCTGCCAACATTAAAGTTGTTTTTGACAAAATACCATAAATTGAGAAAATCTGACAGTGTTAGCAGGTAGTATAAATTAAAGTTGTTATGTTGTGCCCTTAGGCATTTATTTATTGCAAATATAGGCAATGACAGTTAAAGTGCTCTGAATAAATCGTTTTATGAAGAAAGATAAACCAGATTGAAACGATACACAAATTTACACAATGGTTGATTTGTACAGGGCGACAGAGTTCAGTCAGATGGAGAGAAAATAAGCTGGTAACGGGCCATGTCCCTGGGGCAGGCAACGGCGGGGGGCTTTGCAGCGTGGTTTGTTTACAGTCAGCCTGTAAACAGGACTTTAAGGCCTTTCAGGCATTGCACATGTATCACAGGGTAAAATTCAATATAAAATATTTCTATGAAAGTGAACTGTCACCAGTTAACAAACATAACTGAACTTCTACAGGGGTATGCAAATGATTTGCCTATTTACCATATTGAAATCCCATTCCAAACAACTCCCCGATATGCTCTTTGCTGGAAAAATGTAAGGTTTTGAAACGTAGGGACCTGAAGTAAATACTCTT